GCTGAATCACCAACTGAAGCAAAAATCAAATCAGAAGTAAGCAAGTTCGTTTTGAAATAAGCCTACTGGCCAATGGACATATGCATCACAAACTCCTTAACATAAGAAATCACGACACCAACCCTGATTTCAAACTCAAACTTATTACAAACTTCAATAACTTCTTTGGTATTTTCACCATCTACAACCAAATATATTGAATAACTAATAAAAGGTAAAGATCCATTGCATGGACAGACACCAAAGTCAGGACCTTCAATCTTTAAGTTGCAAACCCCATTTCTTGACATGTCTTGTGATGAAGTTGTACACATTGGTTCAAGTACTTTGTTGTACTGCATTGCATAAATCTGGAAATTCTGAATGGATTGACCGATTAAAATCTCTCTGAAAAGGTTTTTTTTTTTTGGAAAAAATGTGAATGCTGAAGTTGCATGCAGTCTCATAAAGCTGGTCAAAAGGAGCAGTTACACTATTAAAATACTTGTTCAGCCATGACAGAAGTTTCAATGAGGCATTATGAATGGCGTTATTCTGCTTCTTATAATAATCCTCAGGGGAACACAAAAATATTACATCCTTAGACCTAGAAAGCAACTTTACTTCACATTTAAACATGTCTGAATTTGATTTCTTTGGACATGCATTTGTATTTGGACTTTGAACTTTGACAATTGTCTTGTCTTGTTAAACCTTTGATAAATTTGAACTTGGAAAATAATAGATGATGATGAATGCCTTAAATTTTCAAGTAACTTGTACTCCAAGTAAGTCATATGCATGACTCTTCCAACTTTAACTTGAATCAAATTATTGAACGAAATAAATTCTTAAGAAATTGATGGCGATGATGAACCCAAAGATCAATACCTTCAATCATGCTTTAGAATCACTTGGAAATGGAACACTTGAATGAACATCTCTATAAAAAATGGATCCAAGTCAACTTGTAAGCAACAAATAATTGAATAGTGTCGCGGTGAAATTTGGATACCAACCTATTGATGAGCTTGAATCTTATTCATTTGCAACCGAACTTTGATTTGTCCAAAGGAAGGGATAAAGATCGATATACCCACAATGCAATGCAAATGCAAAGGTTAGAGAGTTATAGGTTCGGGGGTTGGTTAAACTTAGGGAAGGTGCTAGCATCCTAAGTTTCTGTAGTACTCTACAGGAACCTCTTGTTTTATGTTTGTTTATTTGCTAAGGTTTATCTACTTAAGGATGGAAGACCTAGGGGTTTATTTCTAAGTATACTCGATAAGATATCGCATCTTGTGCCTACATATCCTTACGGGAGTGGAATCAGAGTATCTGTAGTTCCCCTAAAGGGTTTGAGGAGTTCTTTGACTGTGGTCAACGTTCCTACAGGATAAAGATAATTGATTGATTGATTTTAGGAGAAAAGATGAGTTGTCATTTTAAGGGAGATTACTTGATTTAACCGCCACAACATTGTAGGAAAATTGATTGTATTGTTATGGGGTAGTAGTTTTATCTTGCTTAAGATGATTAACGTCTTATTCTCTAACGTGTTTGAAAAGTTGAATTGAGTTGATTTGTTTGTCTAAGTTGTAAAAGATAAAAGGTCCTTCTTATGGGGTAGGATCTAAACTTAGAGATCGACTTGAATGGGATCAAGGATCATAGGGGAATATGATGCAAATGAGATGCATACGCACAATTGTTTAAGTTATACGCAAATTCTTCCTTTGGACGCTATGCATTGATGTGATGTAATAGAGATGAATTACGGATAAAGATAAATTGCAGAAAGTAAAAACAGTAAAGTGAATCCATACATAAACGCATGAAAGCGCTAAAGTGTGTGAAAGTGGAGTGTGAACGGATCTGAGACGGAAGCGTGCATGATTGATTGAGTTACGATGTTGATTGATTCAATTGATTTGAAGAAGGATTAACTTTAGGGATTAGTAAGAAATTATATTGAAGGGTGAATTGGTTACTTAATTGTATTATTTTTAATAAGAGTTGAATTAATTGATGAAGTTGATTTTAAGAAGAAAAAAATTAGATTAATTAGGTGAGTTGGTTTTAATAAGCGATTGATTTTGATTATTTTAAGAAAATGGTTGAATTGATTTTATGAGAAAATTATTTGATTATTTTAGTGAGATTAATTTTTAAGAGAAAAGTTATATTAGGTTTTTTAATAAAAGGGCTTTAGGTCGTAAATTAATTAAAAGTAGCTTTAATTACTATTAATAGGTTTTAATATTATGGTAAAAAAAGTTTATTATTATTAGATAAAAAGTTATATTATTACAATAGTTTTTAGTTGAAGGTTATTTAGGAAAATGAATTTTGAATAAATTATATCAATATTTAGAGATTTAATAAAAGGATTGATTTAAGTATGAGTTAATTCTAAAAGTTCATTAATTTTATTTATAAAAATATTAATTAAAATTAATAGATTAATTAGTTAATAACATAATAGAGTTAAACAAAAGAATTAAGGTTAAATCAAATAAATAAAAAAGGGTTATATTTTGAAAACGATTGATTTAAAAGGGTTTAATGGTCAATTAATTAAATTAGGCTCATTTAATTATTAGTTAGGGGAGTTAATTAGAGGTAAAAGGGTGATTAACGGAGGGATTAAGGGTTGCGTGTGATTGCGTGAGTGTAGGCGCAAGGGGCTTACCGTGGACTCGCGATGTGGAACGTTGGATCAGATCAGGTGATCGATGGAAGGCTGTGATCGTGGGTGCAGGGTCGAAACCGTGTGCGTGTGTGCGTACAATTATAAACATAACAAAAATTGAAAAAAGGAAAAGCAAAAACCCTAGCCCCAGACGGATTTCCCCCTTCTCTCGATCGTCTTCTTCGCTTCGCAAATCAATTGCTCTTCTTCTTTCATTTTCGGCCGCTACTTCTCCTTCTCCGATCCGTCCATCTCTTCACTTTCCTTCTTCTGCAAAACAAATAGGAAAAAAACACAACGCAAGCAAAGCAATAGCAAGAACAAAACAGAAAACCCTCGTAATCCCCAAATCATAGAACCCTAAATCCCAAAACGAAAACAGAAATCAACGGCAAAGCCAAACGAGGGAGTGGTCGTGAGCGACGCTCTGAGCCGGGAGCCAAAACCCACCTGTAGCGGATGTTCAACGGAGACGGGGCGGCCAAGGTCAACGGAGGTTCCGGGAGGTGGTCTTTCGTCAGATAAGTCTCTTTCTCTCTTGTTGCTTTGAGTGTGTGAATGATGCGTGTTTTTGTGATTTCGTATCTCTTTTTTTTCGGATTCCCAAGCTGCGAATTCATCTTTTCTTTTATAGGCCTCGAATGAAATCTCTTGTTTAAAACCTTGATTAAATGTCTTGAATGCTGTATTAGAACCTTCTATTTTGGTTTTAGACAAAATTTGAAAACCTTCCTTTCCTGTCTGATTGTGTTAATGTCTGTTGATGAGAATCCCCTTCTATGTGATTTGTGGTAATTGTATTTTGAAACTTCTTGATTGCTTTGGATACGCTGCTTTTGAGATATGAAAAAAAAAATCTGCCAACTGTCTTGAGTGAAATCACCTTCCCAAACAGGGGTATCCTTTAACTGATTACTAACTCTGTGAATTGTTCCTTGGCAGGGGCGAATAGCAATTGATTTTGGGCCAAGGGAAATTAGCAGCCCAGAGTAATTGCGGTAACGGAACCAGTGTACGTTGTTGGCGGTTTCCTGCTCTGAAACCGATCCTTCGATAAGCAAATGCGTATGGCGAAACTGTTTTGATACTACTCTGTTTGTCTTGTATGTTGCCATGGAGATATCATGCCATGAATTTCCAGGACCTGTGTATTAGCTTACTTACTTCATGTGTCTGTAGCAGTCTTATAAATGTTTCTTTGTTTCCTTTCATGTGCCTATGATGATAGGGGTATTTGGATGGCTGAATAATGGGAATTGCTGCGAATTTGTTCAAACTTGATGCTTGAGGCCTGAACTTCAAATATGCTTGTGCCCCCAAGAGTTCTCGAGCCGTTCTCGACGTCTAGAAGTTATTAATTGGGAACCTTCTCAATTATAGGAGGTAAAAAAGTAACAACTTCCATCTAGTTTTACAGTAAACCAACTATGTCAAAGCCCTTGAGTAGTTATGCCAGGATACCCCAAATGTGCTTTCTCACACCTGGGTATTAACTTCTATCAGATTTTGGCAGGTACTGTCACCCTGGTGGGGTGGGCAAGTTATCATCTTTCGCCTTGTCTAATGAATGTGTCGGTGCGTGGCTTCAGACGGTATTACCATACGGCTTCCAACAGTTCGCCCTATTCCCAATTCTTCACCTGCTGAGGACTGTTGTTGTGCCTATGATGATGATTTGAATTAATGGAAGTCTTGAACTGGGTTCTGACAGGTTAGAGCAACCATTAGGAATGTCGGTGTTTACTTGGAACTTCTTGCAGGAACTGGCACTGATATCCTCACGAGGTTTTAACAATTTACTTGCCTTGTGAATTGCTTTATGCAGGAAAATGGGGGTGTCAACGAATGAAGCTAAAACCGAGCTTCGACATGTCTTGTTGATAAAGCCCCACGGTTCATGGAATGGCGTATTGTTTGGTAAGACCGGCTAGATGTTAGTTCTGTTTTCGTAGCCGTGAATTCTCCTTTTTTTAGTGACGGCATTTTGATTAAAAGAGATTGGGACTGACTGTTATCATCATAATGCCTGCAGGTCGGAGTGGTAACAAGGAATGAAGTGAGGGGTTCACAGGCGTTCTCGTGGTAGTGTTGATTATGGTGGGAGCGGATGGGTACCAGCTACGAAATTCTCCACAATGCTTGGAGGTTCCGTATTTTACAAGTGCAGATGGCTCTTCTTTTACTCATAATTAATTGTGTATGTTGGCTTGTTTTGCGACTCGTCAAAGGGGTGCCTCCTTCTATTAGTTAACCTCGTGATTTTGATCTTGTCTGCCATCTTGTTAGTCACTTTCATAAATTGTTCTTGCTGGATTAGAAATAACAGGGAATGAGCCTCCGGTATGTGCACACAATAGCTGATGTTTCTTGTTGTAATTAGGCATTAAGTTCGCTTCTTTGCTTGAGTTTTATATCGAAATCTCTCGTTTCCTTTTGCCCTGTTGTTTGTTTGTAGCTGACGTGTTTTTCTCCACTTCTTTCAGAATGCCACTCGAAGTTCAGAAACTGCTGGTTGTTACGCCACTTACAGATGATGCTCTTCTGGACGATGCTGATACCACACAGCTGCATGAGGCTTTGGAGGAAAGAAAGCGTTGGCTGATCCTCGGATGGAGCTGTGGCTTACTTGTTACGAAAACTCTTACCCAACTGCGTGTTCTGCAGGCGCTTGACATGAAAAAGAAAATGTAATGTTCTGCGTCAAAGTGCGTGTATATGTGGAGTTGTAAAGGAGGCTTTGTCGGAATGATCATGCAACGTAATGCTGTTGCTTTGTATCAGGCTTGGGTGAGGATTGCAGGTGGAGGCGGGATACTAGAGCGGAAACTCCGAAGCTCGCAGTTGTAGATGCGTAGCAGCGGTTTAGGGTCCTCATTATAATATATACCGTAGCGGCTCAAATTCTGTTCGAACATTTGAGAATGGCTGTAATTATTTGGTTTGAGATATTTCTTGTAAATTGCCTCTCATATACTTGCTTTGGCTAGAAACTTGTGGAAGTTAATGATAATGATGCCTTCTTGATTTGAAATATGTCTGTTTTAAGCGAAGCTCCATTTGATTGTATATATATAGGATTGTAATAATAATATTCATTATAGCACCCCATCAATTTACTCATGTAGTGGCCACGCGCAATAAGATCTTGTGGGAGGGTAACCATTCCCTTGATTATGATGAAAGTCATGGGGTTAACCATATTGTTCATGACACTTAAAATGAAGCAAAATTCCTTGTGAGGAGGAACTCGTGAATAAACAACAATTGTACGAGTTTCAATATAGCCGGGAGCTAAGGAATTTAGTTTTTGTAAAGATCATAACTCATGGACTCCCTTAAAGAGTTCCTTGTCAAGACTCCGTTCAAGATCTCATGCAACCTCAACATCTCCGAACAACTTGATCATAAACCATCGTTGAGAATGTTCCCAAACTTTAATTGCATAACCTGCGATGTAACCTTCCTCGGGGGAAATATAATAGGCTTTAAACGCTTGGGCCTTGAAGTACTTGATTGTAAGGGTCTACACTTGTCATTATTGCACCTGCATCAATTGGTTAGCCATAAATGGCAGAACAGTGCAAATAAAAAGAAAAGAACGGGCAGGTGGGATCTTAAGGTCAAAAATTAGGGTGTGACAAATAGGCAACAAGACAATCACAGAAAAGTCGTCAACTATACTTTGTACATGCATCCAAAAACAAACATCTTGATTGAACATCTACCAAACTTGACTTATACAAACAAATCTCTACATCTTCGGTTTAAACTGAAGCACTTAGAATTTATCTGAATTAATATCTAGGAAGATAAATCCACAAATGAACACAACCTATACTGATGAACTTTGATCATGATAACCTGAATCAAAATTTTCATAGAACATTGCTTGATAAACCAATGGATTTCAACACAAGATAATTTGACCTTGAACAATCACATTGTCTGAGAAAAATAGCCCACTACCACAGGTAACTTATAATTGAAGCAAACTCTTGGTAGTTTGACCAAGATGAGGTCAAACTTCCATTTGATTTAGAATTGAATGAATGTCCTTGCCATCAATCTCCCTGCAAAACCCTAAACACACAGAGAAGGAGAAGAAACAAGAAAATTGCAAATATTTTTGGTATTTTGGTTAGAAGTCAGTAAACAGAAACAAACATAAAGCAAATAAGAAACACTAGTGCTGGGAGAACCAACAAGTATGATCTTGTTTGTGTATGGAATGGTGCAAATGAAATGTGGGATCTTAGGGGTAAAAATTAGGGTATTACAAATTGTAATTCTATGTTGCATTTTACTTTTGTTGCATTTACTTTTGTTGTAAAGAAAGGTCTTGCTTTTTAGCAAGGGCCATCTATTGTATCAGATCTTGATTTATCAATGAAGTTGCTTCTTTTTAAGCACGTTGTTACGTGTGTTCCTAATTTTGTTTGTAAACAAAATTTTCTTTTTCCTTGAATGGTTGGCTTTTGCATTTGCATTTGCACATCATTCTGCATTGGTCTTGCATAGGGTTCCGCAACTCATCTGTTGTTCTTGTCTGCCAGAAAGAGGAGAGTCACGCTGAGTTCTCACAGATACAACACCCGAGCTCAAGCTCAGAGAATGATGGCAGACAATGATCAAAGGATTGACCAAATAGACAACGACATCGAGGGGATTAAGGACAACGAAAGTCAGATCATAGAGGTTCTTAACGTGATTAAAGCAAAGATGGATATGCAGGTTACAATGGTTTCTAAAGTCGCTACAGCAGCAGCAAGCCTTCCAACCGCTCCAGCTATGACAACTGAATTCCCATTTGGCATGTCTAGGGATTTCCTGCCACCAATCAACAATCCTTAGCCGTCCAGCTTTCAAACACAGGTTGATCCAATAACGACGAATCCTATATTTACTCAGGCCAGTGGACCAACTCATGTCCGACCTATTTTTAACCACCACCCTCCAATATTCGACATACCAGATGGTTCCGAAGTGGAAGACGAGAAGCATGAAAAGCTAAGAGTAAAGATGGATATTATGGCGAAAAGGATGCGAGCTATTGAGGGGAGTAATGTCTTTGGATCCGACGCCAAAGACATGTGTTTGGTATCCAGACTAATATTCCCACAAAATTTCAAGATGCCTGTATTTGATAAGTATGAGGGGACTACTTGTCCCAAAGTACACTTAATCATGTATTACAGGCAGATGGCTCCATATATCGAGAACGACAAGTTGTTGGTACATTGCTTCTAAGATAGCCTCAAAGGAGCATCGGCCAAATGGTACTTAAGCTTGGATCAGGCAAAAATACATGGTTTTCAAGACTTATCAGATGCTTTCATCCATCAATACAAATATAATATGGATCTGGCTCCAGATCTTCGTCAACTTCTTAATATGACGCAAAAAAAGCACTGAGACTTTTAAAGAGTATGCTCAGAGATGGCGCGGGAGTGCAGCTCAGGTTGAGCCACCCCTTACAAAAAAAGAACTAGTAGAATGGTTTGTAGACACAGTCAGACTGGAGTTCTACGAAAGGTTAATCAACAGTGTTACCACTAATTTCTTCGACATCATCGCTGTAGGAGTAAAGGTTGAAGCAAGGCTGAAAAGTGGAAAAGTGACAGCTTCAACTACCAATTCTAGAACCAGTGCTATCAAAAAGGCAACTAATAGCTTCCACAAGAAGAAGAAGGGCGAAGTAAGTGCCATAACATATGGAGGAAGGGCACAAAATTCAAAGAATCAACGACAACAATATCATCAATCATCCTATGTAGCAGTTGTAACGCATGTCTTTCAATAGCAACCTAATCAAGGTCCTCAACATGGGGCACCCAATCAACATCAGCTGTACCACCAACAAGGCCAGCAGCCTCAGGGTCGAGCTCTGAGGACCAATTACCAAAGTAATAGGCCAAAGATACAGCCCATCCCTATGAGCTACACTGAATTATTCCCTATGCTGATAGAGGGAGGACTTGTCAAAACAAGGAAGTTAGGTGCTCCTCCTAACCCCTTGCCATACTACTACAATTCCAACGCACATTGCCCATTCCATTAAAACGCTCCCGGACATGACTTAGAAGGATGCTTCGCGCTCCAACACATTGTTCATGAGCTGATTGAAAAGAAGATTCTGTCTTTCGAAGATAACCACCCAAATGTGAAGGATAACCCCCTACCAAACCATGGTGGAGTAAATGTTATCACTGAAGAAGGTGAGGGATCTGAGACAAAGACTGTTACCACTATTGAGGAAATCAAGGTGCCTTTGGCAGAGTTACACAAACAGCTCGCTCAAGCTTGGATGCTTTAAACTTCTCATGAAAACTGTGAGCAATGTATACTAAATCCACAAGGTTGTGACCTTGTACAAAAGGATGTTCGAGCATTACTTGATCAAGGGATGCTAGAGATCGACAGCAGGAAAAAGAAGGAAGACGTATCGGTAATTGAACATGTATTCAATATACCCGAAGAAGTCAACAAGAGGGCCGTCTTTAGAGATTGCAATAACAATAAAGCCAGGAACAGAGCAGTCCGGCCAGTGTTCCATGATGATGTAGCACCCAAATTTGGGAGAGATCAACCTAGGTTTGAACCAAGGAGAGGGTCCAGACCTCACCCGAGGGCCGTAACACCAAAAGATGATTATTCATGGTGTGATGAGATATTCAAAGCGAGAAGGCAAGGAAGTGTTGCCAACATTGTCGGTGGAAGCAGAATGACCCGAAGTGGTCGTGTGTATCCACCCCGAGCAAATCCTGCAGTTTCTCAACCGACGGTTCCCATTCTTGAGGCTGCTGTCGCTAAGGAGTCCATTTCAAAAGAAGTTGTTGCTAAGGAACCTATCACCAAAGGAAAAGAGCCCCTTAAAGACGGTGAGGAGGAATTTTTTAGGATTATTCGTCGAAGTGACTATCGAGTGGTAGATCAGCTAAAACAGACATCGTCCAAGATTTCTATCATGTCATTACTGTTGAGTTCTCCAGCACATCGTCAAACTTTGCTAAAAATCTTGACGCAAGCTCACGTGATGAAAAACATCACAGTGGGGAAATTTGATTCCGTTGTGGCAAACATCACATCATGTAATACTCTGAGCTTTGATGATAATGATCTGCAGCAGAGAAACGCAAGCACAATTGTGCCTTGCATGTATCGGTCAAATGTAAAGAGGATACATTAGCCAGGGTGCTCGTCGACACAGGGTCTACGCTTAATGTAATGTCAAAAAGGACATTAGCTAAGCTAGCTTATCAAGGAGCTGACATGAGACCCACATCTCTAGTGGTAAAAGCTTTTGATAGTTCCAGAAGGACTGTGATAGGAGAGGTTGACCTGCCCATCATGATAGGTCCATAAATCTTCAAGATTACTTTTCAAGTAATGGATGTTAATCCAGTTTACAGTTGTCTGTTGGGGAGATCCTGGATACATGCAGCGGGCGATGTTACCTCCATTCTACATCAGAAAATGAAGTTCATCGTCGACGACCAGTTGGTCATTTTTCATGGAGAGGAAGATCTAATGGTGAGTGTCGCAACTGCGAAAAATGTAACACCCCCTTCTATACCTCCAAACAAACAAATAAATCACATAATAAAATTTCATCAGAGTAAATTTGAAACCTGGTATAAAAGAAGTATGCCACATCATACACAAAATTAACATGCAACACCTGCTCTACAAACGACATGTAACAATGGGGTAGCTTTCAAATAGAGGAACTTAGTCCTTACACCCACTTTTCAAATATTTAAAATTAAAACGATAATTTAAACATTGAATCAT